TTCAAGGAAACTTATCACAGCTATTCATACTTTGAATACACATCTTGAGCAGTTTTGCTATTGTTACCGCTTGTTTTTTTTTTTTTTTTTTTTTTTTTTTTTTTTTTTTTTTTTTTTTTTTTTTTTTTTTTTTTTTTTTTTTTTTTTTTTTTTTTTTTTTTAGATATCTATTTTGCCCCCCTCATAGTAATCACTCCGAGACATACCATATAGCACTTCTGACAGCGTTTTTCCAATGTTCAAAGCACTTAGAAAAGTAATTTTGGTGAGCATGTTTAGATCCGTTAAGTTGTTGTTTTTGGCCAAAAGTTTGGAACGATGCGTGAGCGGGAACGTTGTCATTGTGGAAAAACAAAAAACAGCCTACATCTTCTCAACTCTCTGACCCATCAATAAACGTTACAGATTCCTACTTCTTACACAGTTTTCGGCAAACCAAAAGCGAAATTAAAAATCAATATTTCACTAAATTCTTTTGACTATTCACCAACCTTTGTCCACTTCTGCTTCGATTTTCTTTTCACTCATTTTGTCACTGTTGGCAATCAAAACTTAATATACGCAATGACCGCAATTTAAATAATTTCTAAWTTTTACTAAGCTTTTTTCCACCGCACGTTTAGGATCACTACTATCCTCATTAAGCGAAAGCTGTTTGGCAACTTCGCCAAATATTCAACGCGTTTGTTGTATTTATTTATTTGGACTAGCTACTGTCAGCACACTTCATGCGATGAAGTCTGTCGATACGCGCTGTGGCTAGTCGACGGATCAAATGTGATAGCGCCATGACAATTAACTATGTTTACATACACTACATATTTATATATAAATATATTCGAAATTGATGGATGTCAATAAAACCGAAGATAAACAATAAGCTGATAGCACACAATATTTATTGCCAGCGATCTCGTCTACACAACACAGTGGCGTAGCTACATCTTTGGGCACCCAGGGCCAAGGATGTTGTGCCACCCCGCTTTATCTACCTACCTACAAGTTTCATGAGGTGGTTCGAACAAAAGTGAATCTTMGATATTAAGTATATAAAATTTAGGAAMAAAAAGCCACGTAAATTCTGAAGTTCCAAAATTCTCACAATACGGTTTTTGAGGAAATTATTAGAAAATTTACAAGAAATCTTATTAAAAGCCATAGAGTATAAGAAAAACCCATTTTTGCCCTATATCTTGTACACTTTTGACACAATTGCAGGAATTTTTGCCCGAATTGGAGCTTTTAAATACCATTTTTGAAAACTTGGAGAAATAAAAGTATACATTTTATAAAAAAAATTTGTTAAAGTATTTTTCTGAATATTAAACAACAGCGCAGATCGTTTTGCCGCCCTAAGACGTTGCGCCCGCGGCGACGTCCCCCTTCGGCGCCAATAGCCCCCTTCCCCCCCTAGCTCCGTCACTGACACAGCACGATTATCGGTGGAAATACTCATAAAGGCCGATATGTGCTACATAAACTTAATTATACGAAAGTTTATTAAACTTAATCTAACTACTTGAATTGGAATAATAAAATGGCAAGGCAAGCGCATGCACACTACCGGTTGCTAATGAGACCAAAAGAGAGTTTGAACGAGAGACTGAGGATAACGGCAAAGACTGACACATCATATAGATAATGCTGTAATGCAAACCTATTTCCACTCTTCAGGGTATAAAAGTTTGACGCGATGTTTGCAATACCCACAAGTCACTTGAAATTCAAAATAACATAACATCACTTTTCATGAGTTTACAGGCGAAGGAAAAACGATATTATAGAAACCACTAATATTGACATCAAAGTTGAGTTTTTGTTATAAAACGGTTATATATTGGTTATATATTTGTTATGCTTTGGTTATATATTGGTTATATCTGACAGAAGCAGCTCAATTCCGATCCTTTTGATGATAAGTTGTTTTAGGTGACGATGTATAAATTATCAGCGTGATGTGCTAAGTCTGTCTGTTCRTCCGTATCTCTTTATAGTTACGAACAAGTCACCAAGTTTTTGAGATATTTCTGTGAAATATTGCACAAATAATTTACCAAGAAGCTTTTCTCTGACGCTTGTGGGACATAATTTTGTCTGCTTCGGTTCTGCTTCCATTCACACTATAAAAACCACAAAAATATATTATTACTATAATTTCTATAATTATCAGCAAAAAAACTTGCGCTTTTTGCTAGTAGATGTCAGTTACAATGCAAAACTATTTTTGTTTTTCAACATTTTTCTTTTAACATCTTTTACCACCCTGTGGTCGGTTCAGTTTGGCTGCGTATAAGCGCACTAGTCCCTCAATTTTTGAGATACCGATCTAGAATTGTACACAAGTCATTGTCTCCCCTAGAAGCTGCTCATTTGTCGTAGCCGCTGATAACGCACCACTACAGCAYATACATAGCTGCTTTACAAATTGAACGATCGATATGAAGTGCTTGTAAGGGAATCTTTCTTGTTTGACAAGATATCCTCACAAAACTTGGCATATGTTATTGCCTAAAGCACTAATGCAATATATGAAGAAATTACTCAGATCACATCACTATAGCATATAGCTGTCATACAAATTGAACGATTGAACTCAAGTTTCTGTATTGAAAACTTTTTTATTTGGATGAAATTTTCGCGAAATATAATTTCGTAATATATAGTACTAATTACATATTGATCAGTTCATAACATTATAGCATATTTCTATATCACAAATTCAAATAAACTTTTATTCTCCACAAAATGCATGAAGGGCATTACAACTCTGGAGTTGCCGAAATTAGCGTTTTTTCTGTATTTATTATTTGTTGCAAGTTTTTCATTGCTGTCGAAAAAAAACTGTTGTTGATCTAACTTCGCAAAACTATTACCGCATTTGTGTACCGGGAAAAACACAAARTGGTTTTTATTTAATAATCAATTAGTGCTTCAAAGTAATAATAATTGATATAATGGCTACAAAATTTCACACTCGAAATGAGTACGGCGAAAACTATTGCTTTCAAGTACACTGTTTGGCTATCAGTTTCCATGTAGTTATTGATCAGTTTGGTTGTGATTTTATTGTCGAAATCGAAAGTACTACTGACAATATTGCAATGAGCATAATAAATATTTCAAATAGTCGTTATTTCTTTAAAAAAAAAAAATTCATATTGAAAAATACCATTATCACAATGAACTCCATAGAGCGCTGTTAAACTTAACAGCAATGTAAACAATTGCTAACGGCTTGAAGATGTGTATAAGAGACAGATACCATTATCACAATGAACTCCATAGAGCGCTGTTAAACTTAACAGCAATGTAAACAATTGCTAACGGCTTGAAACGCCGCAAAAATTAATTATACACATAATGTATGTATACAAACACACTCATTGCTTTTGTTATTACTATTATAATTTTTTTATAAATTTTATTTTACAATAACTAATTAATTTAGAGCACTAAATTGATTTCAATAAAATATTTATTTATTTCTTTAAGTCTAAAAATCATCAACCCATATAAATTCGGCTCTAATTAACACCGGTTATACACGCAATAGTAACATCTATACCAACAAGTTTTGYCTGCTATAATTCAGTTCATATACATTTTTGAGTAATAAGAGAGCTAATCACACTGTAAGCAAGCAACTGTTAACGAACCGGTATGAAACTGTTACTAACAATGTTTGAAACCCGAAGCTTTGCGCTAACCACAATARCATGTACATACTAAGGGAGCTTTATGCACGAGTACACACAAACTCTCTTCCTTCACAGCGGTTGTGATTAATGTCGAAAGCTTTTGGCCGAATAAAAAAGCTTATTCCAAAAGGAATTTGTAGAAAATATTCTATATTCAAATACTCTACATTAATTGTGTACTAAACATTTTCCGCCTGAAAAGCCGCAACTCAAATGAAATTTTAACGAATATGGTTGAACATACTTTGCTGTTGCCGTTTACCGTTATAAGCAATAAAGCAGCTTCGTAGGTATAGCAAGTGCTTTCCAAAGTAACTAAAATGGGCAAAAATTTTACTAATTYTAACAAAAAGTAACACCTGTTTGGTTTCGTCTCTGACATTTCGTATCCAGAAACCTTATATACTATATGTTACATATAAAAACTTTCCACTCGTTACAAAAATAGACCGACTAAACAATTAAAAGAAAATTTATTTTGCAAAGTTGGTTCGACGAGAGATCTTTGAAGTAATTTATCGTTGCGGACGACCTTCGACCTTTTCAACTGATGAAAATATTAAAAAAGCGAAGGATATGGTGCTTGAAAATCATCAGATAAATGTTGGAGAGATAGGAGAGCTCGCTTCAATTATTTTAGTGGATATTTTGGYCAACAAGGTTATGCTCATTGTTTTTTCGATGTCTGTGGTTTTGTGAATCATGAATTTGTTCTGGAGGGACAAACTYTCAATAAGTAGCTCTATTTGGCCGTAGAGGCGTTTGCGTGAGAACATCTGCCGAAAGTAGTTGGAATTGTGRAAGAAGATTTCATGGCTTTYACACAACGATAAAMMACCATCAATTCGAGCCAAGATTGTGATCGAATTTAAAGCCAAAAATGCAATGAATTCCATCGAYTAACCACCTTATTCACCAAATATGRCCCCGTATTCTTGTTCCTCAAAATAAGATTGCTGTTTCGTGGAACTCSTTTTCAGTCGATCGAAGAGATWAATATTCTTGTTCCTCAAAATAAGATTGCTATTTCGTKGAACTCGTTTTCAGTCGATCCAAGAGATAAATCAAAATTCGCTGAAGAAGCTAAATGAAACGTGTTTCAAGAAGTGGAAAATTTATGACATAATAGTATTACAGGTAGTGGAGATTGCTTTGAGGACGACAACATATAAATACAAAAATTATTAAATATTTTGCTTTTTATTAACATTTTCCGGGTACTTTTTTGCAACAATCTTTAACTTAATATAATATTTAATACATATATTAAGAAATTATATAATATAAATTTACATTCTTAACCTTAGAGCTCAATTCAGCTTGTTACAGCTGGAGTACATATCGCCGTTACCGCACACACATGCTCACTAAGCACTTTGTGCGGAAACTCCGAATTTTGATAACACTTCTTCGAGAGATAATCTCTATCATCCCATGGCTGTAGGTCCATCTTGCCAAAAATCAAATAGAACAAGTTACCCGAAGCAAACACGACAGCCGATATTATGAAGACTAATTGCCACTGTACGCGATTATGCTGTAAAATAAAAACTTCGAGTTAATAATTTTTCACACAACAAAAAACTCATTTCTACACACCTCGTCCTTTACCAGCACACCGACTAGSAGCGGCGTAAGTATCGGTATCACATTAGCGGCTGAGTTCACGATGCCCATAAGAATGCCAGCATGATTCGGCGAGAGATCGATGGTGTTCAGCGCACTGCCAATTGTAGCACCAGCATTCGAGCCAACACTTATCGTCATTAAAGCAATCGCGAAATTCTTCTGGTCCTCCCCGAGGAGTCCAATGCATATAAGACCAGTAGCCGGTATCCAAAAGGYGCATGTATTGAAGGTCTTGCGTATAGCTGTGAGTGAGGCTATTTTTCGATTGAGCAAAACATCCGAGACAATCAGATATACATAAGACATACACCACATAGCCAAATAAGGTAGCGCCGAATAGAAAGCGTTACTCTTCATGTCCATATTTAGCACACCCTTCATATAGGAAGGCAGTTCAGCTTGAAGTGTGGAGAAACCCCAAGAATGCGCTGAACGTGCGACTACTAATGCCCAAAATGGCAAAGAAGTCAATATAGCATGCCAAGGCACTGGAATCTTTTGTACTACTTCATCCGACTTTACTGTTTTTGTGATATTCTGCGAGGCCTCTATGTAATCAAGTTCTGCTTTTGTAATAAACTGGCACTCCGCTGGTTTATTGGCGGCTAACAACAGCCAAGCGACGCACCAAACTAAGCCCAAGGCACCAGATACATAGAACAACCCTGGCCAACCGATGCTCGAAGCCGCAATTAAGCCACTTATGAACATAGACAGCAGTGTACCGCATTCGATACCCGTATTGGCTAGCGCACCCAAACGATTGCGTTCGCTTACCGGACACCAAGCTGCGAGATGTGCGTGTAGGCAGGGAAAAAGAAATCCCTGAAATAGTCCCTGTACAATACGTATGCCACAGTAGATGCCCCAACCGCCCCAATTAACGCAAAGCGGTGGCAGAAGAGCAAATAACGAAGAGCCCAGTGTTGAGATAAACATCGTGCGTTTGGCGCCCAGMCGACGGCAGAGGTAACCACCGGGGAATTGTGTAATGAAATTACCCCAGAAGAAGCTCGACAGAATGTACGATTTTTCCATATCAYTCCACTTGTATTCCTGAAAAGAAAAGTAGGTTTATTAAATAAATATGATAAACGATAATTATTTAATCCTACCGGAAAGTTAGGATTTGTAGTCGCSGCATCTGTCATGGCCACCACAGCAACCCCCGCGTTGAATTTGGCAATATAATTTACAATAATTGAAGTGAATAGCAAGAAAATTTGTACGTGACGTTGCCCGAAACACGGTACTGAAACAAGAAGTAGGGAAAGATTAGCTTTCCACGTTATACTTTTAAAAAATATATTAAAAATTTTTTTAAAAAACGAGTAACTTAGAGCTCAGTGTGGCAATCTTCAGCGCTAGGACCCTCTATTATTAAGATAACAAAATTTGAACTAAGAAAGAAAAAATCTTTCGCCTAATTAATAAGATCAAAACTCTTTTAATGACTCAATTCGTTATTTTTGATCGAATTATTCCTTTAAGTGGAGCACTGGAATACAGTAGCCATTGCACATTAGAAAGGGGTCCTCGTAAGTAGGCAGGTATGAGTTCAACCCCTTCTGTTCCATTTTTATACACTATTAAATATTGCTATCTCGTTTCATTGTTGTGATTCAAACCATTTGGTGCCCTCTATCAAACTAATTATTTCCGTTATGTTTTTATTGATACCCACTCAAGGTTTACGGACACCAAGAATTCGATGCGATGTAGATGGGGTTGTGATAGAGCTGGGCACTCACAGGGGAAGTGTGAAACCGTTTCCTTACTTCTTTCCAGTTTGCAGTTATAGCAAATATTGCTTTTGGACATTCCCAATTTCAACGCGCATTCTCCAAATGTCTAGTGCCCTCTGGAGTTGACCGACGATGAGCTTAAAGCCTTGCTACRCTTGCTGATCACGCTGGAGCTTTTCTTTGGCGATGACAAGGCTGACAATGCCTCCTGTCTATCTGTTTATGAGCTAGCTCTCTGTATTCTCACTTAGTTATTCAGTGGAACTCCATGCCTAGTATTTCCGGGTGGAAAATGCTAGTTGAGTTTTTTAGAAAGACGGAAAGGGAGAGAGATATCAAGAGCCCTACTACGCAGTCCACTTTG